GCATTCCTGGAAAAGCAAAAGTATGGAGACAATAAAAATTTCAATGGTTGACAGGAGTTAGGGGGAGGGAGAAAGGGATAAATAAGTGGAGCACAGAGGACTTTTAGGACAGTGAAAATATTCTGTATGATACTTTAATGGTGATTATCTTGCACCTTCCTCTCAAAGTGGCTGTGAACCTAAAACTGCTTGAATAAAAGTCTTTTTTTGAAAATAGAAAATACTTAAAAAAAAATGTTTAATACAGAGAAATTTGCTCCCCTCCTTGTAGGAATAGCCAATTAAAACCTGCCTCCTCTTTTGTGAGAAATAACTTCTATATAACTCTGATTTGGGTCATTTTATTGGAAAGTTACTTCAATGTCAAGGTGACCAGAATGGTTAGAATGACTTGCAGGTTTGGGAGCAAGTATCTAATCACATACTGACTAAAACACAGCATAAAGCAGAGAGTGAAATGTTAGCCCCTTCTGGCAAGTTTCCTTCACGAGGACAAAAAGGAACTAAAGTTGAACATACCATACATTGTTCTAAAACCTGGCAATAATTCAGATCTCAACAACAACAACAACAACAAAAAAAAAACATGTGAAAAAGTGGAAAATAATCTTTCACATCGTAAAATGTAAAGCCGTCCCTAACCTTTTTGGCACTAGGGACTGGTGCTCCTATAAGAATCTAACGCCTGAGGATCTGAGGCAGAGCTGAGGCGGCGATGCTAGCGCTGAGAAGCTGCCACAAATACAGATGAAGCTTCGCTCAATGGCCTGCCGCTCACCTCCCGCTGTGCGGCCCAGTTCCTAACAGGCCGTGGACCAGTACCGGTTCAAGGCCCGGGGGTTGGGGACTCGTTTTACAATGAAGACAGAGCCTGGCAAAAGGAAAAGATGAGGTCATGGAGTAAATCTGAAAAAACAACCCTAGAATGGGAGTTTGTTCCTGTCAGGAACTCATCCCAGGATGGCTCCTTGTGTCTGTTAGGTCTCTGCTCAATGTCAGCTCACCAACAAGGCCTCTTTACCACCCACTATAAAAGAATAAATCTTGTCGTCACTCATTTCACCTCTGGCAACTTCCACGCTCCTTGTAGATATTCTAAATAGCGCTTTTTATCACTCGACACACTAAGTCACGTGTTGTTTAATATACATCTTTCCCACCACAATGCAGCATCAAAGAAGGAAGCATGTTATGCCTTGTACAATGAACACATTTCACACTTTTCTGCTTTAAAAGCACTGCTCAGAACTGTGCCTGAAGCGCGGTAGGTACTCAACAAATGTGTGTTGAATGAATAAATGAAATCCAGTTTGACTTTTCTGGTGCACATTTAAGTCACGTCCTAGTAAGACGTGGTGTTGTACACATTTTTCAGGTAAGTTATTTGAAATAGAAAAGGGACAGAAAACTTCAGTTCTGCTAGAAAGATGAAAAAGTGTACCAGACACAGGGATACAGCAAGCATGATGCTAATGAGAAAATCAAAGGTGGCAAAAATTCTTTGGCGTGAAAAGGAAGAGGGGCTATCACTGATTCCCTCTGAGGCTTCTAGACTATCTCTTTGAAAACGGAGTGTGGAAAAATGTTGACTATACATAAAAGAGCCTATCACGACGGTTTTTCAAATAGAAAACTCCAGCCCTCTAGTGAGCTGTGAAATAAATTTAAAAGCTTGTAATAAGCATTCAGAAAAAAGAACCAGAATAGGAACTATTCGAGCATTATCACCAACAGGAAAGGGGTCACTACATGAAATGCCAACGAAAGTCATACATATAAATCTACAACCGTGAAATGTTTGTTCTGGTTACAATGAAAAATGCATTGCTTGCTGTGGTTCATGTTAAAACAACAACAACAACAACAACAACAAAACGTGAAGACTTTGGTTCTAGAAGTTACTCAGTTCTTAATAAAAGAAATTATTCAAATGGAAAGATAAGCTCCAAGCGTGAAAGCTTGGAAAAATATTACTCAGGGAATGTGTACTTCTTGGTAAGTAATGTAGTTTGTTTATATTTGATAAATTTGACTCTTAAAAAATAGTTGTGTGAGGGAAACAGGGAGTCTTTCTGAGGATATGACAGGAATTTTGAGCAGGACATTTCCTGATTCTTTCCAGGTTCACTAGTTAAAAAACACTAAGTCTTTAAAAAAAAACAAGGGAAAATCATATGAAATCTGTATTCTTTAATATTTGTTCAATGGCTAAATTTGTAGAAAACAAAGGCAGAACAGATTTTTGAACCAGAGATATAGGCAAATTCAAGTGTGTGTCTGATGTCACTCTCAATCACCTTAAATCCTCCCTCTCAGGGACAGGAAGGGGACACCTGGGGGCAGTGACATGGGCTGCAGATAGGAAAAGCAGCTTGCAACATGGTTACTATCTGACACTGTAGGAAAAAGACATCTCTTCCTTGTGTGGGGGAGCTAGCTGAGAATCAGACATCAGAATCCTCACTTTAAAATATTCTCCCCAGAAGTGAATATGCTCCCCTGTGGAAGATTCCAGGAAAGCTTTTTTTAGTGCTCCTCAGTCTGGTCATAACCACAATGCTTAGAAGTTTCTCTAGGATATGGGTCAAGTACACACACACACAAGCACGCATTCATGCCAAGGGCACCCAAGAAAATGACTGAAATAGACAGTAACTGGGTGGGGAGTCATCAGAAGACAACAGATGGTCTGCGACATCCTTCACTCACTCCGGTTTGCCCATGACCTGGAGCTATCTCCATTACCCATGGAGACACTAAGCTCCCCATTCATAAACACATTTACTAATTCAAGGAGTATTTACAAATGCTTGCCACATACCAGACTATTCCGGGCACTGAAGATAGAGCAATAAACAAACGACAAAATTCCTCGCTTGTAGGGATTACACTCCAGTGCAGAGAGAGAGGCAATAAGCAAGCAAACAAAAACAGGAGACCCAGTATCAAGAAGAGCAGAAAGGATAGTATTTTACACAGGTGGTTAGAGAAGGCCTAGTTCATGAAATTACAACTGAGCAGGGATCTGAATGAAGTAAGGAGGGAAGAGGAGGATTTGAGGTGACAGAGAGAAAGCAAGTAAGGGCTCTGAAGCAGAAGTGCCTGCAGAAGGCTGAATACACTGTCCTCTGAGGAATCAACATCTTAATTTTTGGAGCCTAGAATATGTTAGGTTACATGGCAAAGGGGAACTAAGGCTGATAATCAGCTGACCTTAAAATGGAAGACGGTTGCAGAGAAGAGTATCAGAGGGAAATGTGACGACGGAGAGAAGATTCGTGCAGGCTGTGAAGACAGAGGAAAGAGGCCACAAGTTAAGAAATGTGGCGTAAATCTAGAAGCTGAAAAGGCAAAGACACAGATTCTCCCCTAGAGCTTCCAAAAAAAAAAAAAAGTAACTGTGCCAACACCTTGATTTTAGCTCAGAAAGAACCATGTCACATATCTGACTTAAAGAACTGTAAGAGAATCAACGCATGTTGTTTCAGGCCATGATGCTTGTGGGAATTTGTTACGGCAGCAACAGGCAATAATGCGTCCCTGGAAGGTCTGGTAACAGCAGGACGATGTGGGTGGAAGAGACAGAGCGAGGCAGACGATCATAGACGTATTCGCAATGAGTGAGGACGTGGGGCAGGCCAACGAGGACTCTAGATGACACTTTATGAGGTTTTCAGACAAAGAAGAAGCCATAACGGGTTTTGAGCAGAGGCATGGAAGTATGACAGACATTTCCTATGGCCACTACATAGAGAAAAGACCAGAGTCAGGGAAGTGTGGAAGCAGGGCATGGAGGCGGGTGAAATAATTCAAGAAAGAGGTTTGGTGATTTGGACCAGATGTTGGCAAAAGGGAGGAGAGAAGAAGTAAAAGACGTGGAAGAACATCTCCGAGGACTTCTATCTGCTTGGTTCTTACCTGATTTCCCTTCTGTTTGGGTTACTGTCATCATCCAAAGCCTTTTTTCCTGTTCTAAGTAGAATACGTCATGTTTGAAGGGGTGACGCCCTGGGACCATGCAATTTAAAGTGAATATTTAAAGTGAATACACTAAAGGTACAATTTACCAGAAATTTAGATTCCTACTATATATTGTTCAATGTAATCAAAGTCAGTGTTTTCAAACATTTTAAAAAACATCACCTATTTGGAGAAATACCAAATCTCAAGATCCAGATAGATATACATTAAAATGTATTACAAACACCTATTTCTAAAAAAATTTAAAAAAAAAAACCTATTTCTAACCAATGTCTATTTTCATTAAATCTCCTTCCACTAGTTCTTACATCGTTCACACAACTGGCCACAGTTTTTGCTTCAATGTAATCCGTTCTTCCTAAAAAACTGATATTTTCTACCTTATTTTTTTATTCCATTAAAAACTGTTGGTAGAAAAGTCAGGTCTAGTCTACGGCCATGCCACTCTGAACAAGCCCGATCCTGTGTGATCTCGGAAGCTAAGCAGGGTTGGGCCTGGTTAGTACTTGGATGGGAGACCACCTAGGAAGACCAGGTGCTGTAGGCGTAAAAAATAAAAAATAAGGGATTGTAAGCTGACAAGGTCCTTGAAATCTGTGAGGTCAACCAAGAATTGCCTTGCCTAACAAATTAAAAGAAAAAAATAAGAAATAAATTAGTTTAAAAAAAAAGTCAGGTCTACAAATGGAGGCAATCGTTTCAATATCTCCAAAGCCTCGAACACCTGAGGACACAAAGCCAATCCAGGGAGCTGATATTCAGTTAGAGAGGGTGCCTGTCCTCACCCACAGAGACCAGGTTCCTGAAGTTCTCCAGCATCACATCCTGGTACAGCTTCCTCTGGGCAGAGTTCAGCAGCCCCAGCTCCTCCTTGGTGAAGGTCACAGCCACATCCTTGAAGGTCACTGTCTCCTACAACAACAAACACATGTAACTTCAATCTTATCATCAATAACCACTGGAAATGGAAGAGAACCGAGAGGTGGAGAGGAAAGGTGGGAGTTGGCTCCAGATTGTGAGGGACTTATGTCAGTTTGTAGACCTCCCAGCTGTTCTCCCTCTATCCTGGCAATGCCACACACACTGGTTTTCTTCAGCCTCAAGAGAAGTGCGGCAATGACGACAGTCCTCATATTTTTACTTTGTGCCTTCTCTTTAAGTCTACTTACAAGTAACATGCAAGAACCCTAAATAAGCATCCTGGGCTACATGTGTTTTACCTTTCGGTGAATATTGCCAATGGCCCCCAGAAGTGTTAAAACTATAAAATATTTTTTTTCTTTTTTTTAGACAAGGCAACCCTTGGTTGACCTCACAGATTGCAAGGATCTTGCCTCTCCAGCGCCCACACTACAAAGCACAGGTCCTGAAACGAACTCTCTCTCTTCTCGGCACTTGAACAGAATGCCTACCATTCCTGATCCTTGGTTTCCTGTGGGAATCCGAGCGGGTTTTTCATATTTTAAGATGAAGATGAGAACTAAATTTCCTCGTTCAGCTGCTCTGAGGAGGAAGTGCGGGCACAAGAATGCAAGTTACTGGCAAATCTTCTAGTATCTCTGGACATTTTAAACTAAGGTTACCTATTACTTTAGTCAAAGTAGCTAATACATAAAAAGACAACAACAAAAAAGACAAATAAAATGCACACGAGGCATGACTCAGGCATGGGGAAGATGAGATCCAGCTCTTCCTATGTGAAAACCTCCAATGATATCTGTATGCAGTGGCAGTGAGAGTCTGCTGTGTTGTGCTTGTATTTGGTTACTCTACCTAGAAAACAGCCAACTTGACACATATCAGTTTTGGTACAGGACAAAAAATTGGCAGATTGTTTTCAGAACTGATTTTTGCGGGAAAGGTTTTATGTAAGACAGCTGTCACTGCAGTGTTGTTTAAAACAGTAAAATTCCTCAAGGGGATGTAAACTACAGCATAAAGAATACAGTCAATAATACTGTAATAGCTATGTATGGTGTCAGGTGGGCGCTAGACTTATAGAGAGGAACCACTTCATAAGTTACATAAATGTCTAGCCACTATGCTGTATATCTGAAACTAATATAATATTGAACGTCAATTGTATTTAAAAAATCAATTTTAAAAAGCCGTAAAATTTATAAACCATCTAAATGTCTGAGTAGAAAGTAGTTAAAAATTAAAAGGTACAACAATTCAATGAGAATATGATGTAAAAAATAAACATCACATAATATTAAGAGTAAAAACGTCAACTTAAATTTTTTTTTTTTAGGCGAGGCAACCCTTGGTTTACCTCACAGATTACAAGGACCTTGTCAGCTTACAATCCCTTATTTTTTATTTTTTATGCCTACAGCACCTGGTCTTCCTAGGTAGTCTCCTGTCCAGTACTAACCAGGCCTGACCCTGCTTACCTTCCGAGATCACACATGATCAAGCTTGTTCAGGGTGGTATGCCCGTAGACTCAACTTAAAATTAAATGTAATATCATGAATAGAAGTAGCTATAAATGTACATGAAGAAAAGAGCATGAGAAAATAAAAACCACTAATTTGTCAGCAGTGAAGCAGTCATTCATTTCTAATAAATTGTCTACATCATAAAACAAAAAATAATAAAACAAAAACCAAAAACAAATGCAAAGTAAACTCAAAAGGGACAAAGACACCCTGCAAAACAGGTCCTCAAATGCCTGTTGTTCTGCTTGAGTCGTCCCAAGAAAAGCATGTGACAGCTGAGTAACGAGATGGAATTTTAAAAGTGAGAAAGGCAAGACCTGCTCACCTTGGATGTGGTCATTTTTCCTCCTACTTCTGAGGTCAAGTGCAGGCCTGAGTGGTACAGATCCCAGAAGGGCAAAATTGCCTAGCAGTGCCTGCAAAGACAGAAAAATAGACACGAAAGAGTGGCCTGGATGCTGCTCACGAACACGGACAACACGTGAATTACTGTGAATTAGCATGCGAATATTTATAGCAGCATCATTCATAGTAATCTAAAACTGAGGACAATCACAATGTTGACCTATATGCCAATGAAGAGACAAACTGTGGCATAATCATACAATGGAATATTATTGGCCAGTTAAAAGAAATGAAGGCCTGATTATGCTACGACATGAATGAACCCTGTAAACACTGTGGAAAGTGCAAAAACACCAGTCACAAGACCACATATTGTATGGTTCAGTCTATTAAAATGCCCAGAATAAGCAAATCTATGGAGACAGAACGTAGGTTAGTGGGTGCCTGGGTATCTGGGAAGAGAATGGGGCTTACGTGCAAATGGGCATGAGGAATACAATTGGGGAAACAAAAATACTCTAAACTGAATTATGGCAATGGTCGAACCACTCAGCAAAATTACAACTCATTGATTTGTACACCTGAAATGGGAGAATTCTATGGTATGTACAATATACCTCCAGTTGGTTAAAATAAATGTTAATTTACACATCATTTAATTAAACTATTAATAGAATATTAGTAAAACTACTGATAGAATATTTATATTTGAATGAATGAATAAATAAGTGTGGGGCGGGGAGGGAAGCTTGTCTTTGCAATAAAATGCCCACTAATAAATGTTTCTCTCCAGAAAAAACTATTGATTTCGGGGAAAAAAATAGTAACTTTACAACAGAGATATCTGACGGACATCACCTTGGCCTAGTGAACAAAGTTGAATCCGCCAATGTAGGGACAAACCGACAGCTCCTGCTATGTTGCAAATGACAAGGACACCTCACCACTTCTGTGAAATCTCTACCAACAATGCATGAACTGAACCTAAACACGGAACCTATCAGATAAACACCAAGTGAGGGACTTTCTCCAAAATAACTTGCCTCTATACTCTTCAAAAATATCAAGAACGAAAAAATATAAAGGCTGTGGAATTGTTCCACATTAAAAAACATTAAGAAAAGCATGACATATTGTAGATTTTAAAAATAAATGTCAGGAGATGGAACACAATTATTTAGGAGGCACCAAATTAGATTCCTGGGTTGCTACAGATATTCAGATGGCAGAACAGAGATTTCTAGATGTTACCTTGGGAATGAACAGAGCAACTGCTGGTGATGACAGTTTGTAAAGGTAGCCGAGATTCAAATCTACAGATCATAATGGAGAAAAAACTTTTGCTTTTCTTAAATATGTTTAAAATAAAATCTATTCTCACTAAAAAAATTGGACTTTAAAACAGAGGGGAGGGGGGAATGACTACACTGCAAGTCTCTGTTGCCTTTCCCCCAGTCCTCCAGTGAAAATATTATATTATGGGAACTTTAAATGAAAAAGAACAAAATAATACAGGACTGTAGATTACATAACAGTATTATCTGTTTTCTAGTATTATTTAAAAGTAACAATATTAACCCCTATTGTAATAACTTAACGGATACCTAATATCTGATAACAATATTATCTAGTATAATGTCTAATATTACTGAGTATGTGATGCTAAAACCCTATAATCAACCTCTCCTAAATCCCTCTTACCAAGACACCTCCTGACTACTCATGGTACGTGGGCTTCCTTCCTGCAGAAAGCAAAAATAAGCTGTCATTAAATGCAGGTATATTCCTGGTGTTATTTGGCTCATGGAGCCACAAAGCATAGACAAAATGTAAACAAGTGGTGAATTTGGGTAGAGCGTATATGAGAATTCTTGATACTATTTTTGTAACTTTTCTCTAGGTTTAAAATTATAGAAAAGTTTTTAAAAATCAGAAACAGTCATAGGAATAATATTAATGAGAATAATAAGAATGATCATGAAATTATATGGAAGTTAGTTTATTCTTTCTTGGTACTGTTTGTAAATTTCCATAGTTAAAACACATAAAAGGAAAAGCATTAAGAAAAGTATGATAAAAAACTTTGTAAAATGTTTATAAACATACAAATATACACAGAGAACCACTAAACGGAAACATTAGAAGCGTTAACACTTGCTACCTTTACATCCTGGATGAATGCGTAATTACATTTTTCTCTTGCAGATTTCTGTACTTTCTGAATGTGCCACAACGATTTGGTTCTATATGGTTTTTTGTAATAAGTGAAACAAAATACTTGACAATGTTTTAAAAAACTCATTTAAGTCCAAGCCCATTAGCCTTTCTTTTAAGGTCCTCTAAGACCAAGTCCTAACTATCTGGCCTGATTCCAGCTAGTTTCTATAGCTAAAGAATACATTCACGAGATTTTGAACTCCAGCTCTGGACTCGGACTGCCTAAATTCTAACCCCAGCTCAGCCTCTTATTAAGTGGGTGGCTATGGGCCATTAATTTATACCCCTTGAGTTGCAACCTCAATTTATAGAATAGAAAAAAAGCTGTCTTTCTTCACAGAGCCACGGTGTGACATAATGTATTTACTTGTACAAAATCCTCATCATTGAAGTTAGTAGTTAAGGGTAATTATCACCAATACCCATGCCCGATTACACATCCTACACATTCACTGATTTACGTGAACATTGTTGTAAACGGACAAGGCCAAGTCTCACTCATGTGGAGCTTTGCTGTCAGTAGCCAAGGAGTCACTCCCTCTATGTCCATGCAGTCCTTTCTGAGGAGTCAGGCTGGGGAAAAAAAGAATGTTATGAAGTGCCCTGATCGTGAGGCGGTCCTCCAGAAAAGTTTAAACCCTCCCTCTCTCCGTGTAATCCGGAAGGATCCCTCACCTTTCTTAAAAAAAAAAA